CACGCTCGCTGCACCAGGTCCCCAGGCGACACGGATGGAGATGAGATCGACGCCGCTGAGGGGAGGACGGCCGGCGAAGACTCACATCTCCCCTTTCCCGCAGAGTTCCGAAGTCTCTTACCCGAAGGATGAGCCGCATCGAAAGAAGCCTACGGTAGAGAAACCCTTCGACGAGTCCGGGCAGCGTATGAAGAACTTCTGCTTCACGCCAGAATGTTTGAAGGCCGGTCTGTACGACGCTCTATCTCTATGGGCATTGAAGATTCGTTTTACTATCATATTTCGTTAACTTAATTCTATTTGATCGTGATTCGCATGAATATTAATTTATTAATGCGTTTTTTTCTGTCTGTTGAAATACTGTTTTGGACGTATATATATTTTTTAAAGAGTTCGGATTGACTGATTCGATTTTTCTCCCCATTTGGACATATTGGGATTGTTGCAGCCTTGGAGCTCAAGGAATCTATGGATCTGACCGTGGACCCCTGCGAGGACTTCTTCAAGTACACCTGCGGGAACTGGATCGCGAAAAACCCCATCCCACCGGCCGCCAACGCCATGACCATCATCAAGGGGATGGAGGACCTGCTGCACGAGAGGATCCGAGGTCTGTCCGCTTTCTTCAACAACGCTCTCTGCGCGCTTATGCGATGTCTCCAGCCTTGTGTCCTTTGGCAGACGTTCTCAGAGCGAATCCCTCGCCGGGTGACAGTGTGCCCGTTCGGGATGCGAAGACCTTGTACGCTGCCTGCGTCAACACTGGTGCGTCATACTTAAAAAATGAACCAGAAATGCATAGGTGACGATGAAATTTCGCATCTTAAGAGGGCATAAATAAATTATGGAAAGTAATATTTTTTAATAAATAATAATTTTTTTGCGAAAAAAGGAAACAAGTGGAAAATAACATGCGAATGAATCAGCTCTTAGTGGAGCAAGGATGCGACGCAGAGATTCAGCTTATTTTTCTATAGGGAAAACCTTTTCACTCTAACTTGGAAAATTACATTTTTGACACGTCGTTGCAGCAACTCTGGAGTCTCTGGGGCTGGAACCGCTCACCTCCATCATGAAAAACTACGGCAGAGGCTGGCCGATGACCCTGTACGGATGGAATGGATGGGACTTCGACTGGCAGGAGACGGCGGCCGCCTGGATGCGAAACGTCACGCTCAACACGTTCATCTCGGCTTATGTGGGGCCGGATGACATGAACACCGACAGGAACGTACTCTATGTGAGTCCAGTTGGAACGCTTTTGATCTTAGAGTGAAATGCATTCGGCGCTAGAGGAACC